TATCTTTGGTTTATTCATTGTATGTTTTGTTTGTTAATTTCATGAATTACACGATTTAATTCTTTCTTTTCCAGTGTAAACCGTGTCTTTAACAATAAATAACATTCATTGACTATGGTTGGACTGTCATAATGAACATCAAACATTGATATTGAAATCTTCTATAAACAGAAAAAAGTGAATTTTATTATCTGTTCACAAAATAATTAAAAATAAAATCCACTTTATTATATATTTCAAAAATACAACTAACATATCAAACTCACATTAATTTTGAAAAAAATAAACTCGAAGTACTTTGCGTGTTATTCAACTCATATTATTTAATAACCAACAAAAAACTACTCTAATAATAATCTTATGATTACTGTGTTTTTTATAGTAAAACAAACCAAATAAGTTAGCATTCGAATTTTTTAAACAGTGATTTTCTGTTTGATTCAATTTTCTCCTATTGAATCTAATTGCACAACAATAAAACAATTGTAACTATAAATAAACAATTAATAAACTATTAACAATTACAATATAAAATCAGAACCAATTGGCATTCTCTACAACGTAACTTCCTTGTTGAGAATATACAAACGCGCACTTCACTCTTTGAGTTTCTGAATAACTCTCATTTTCACCAAAAGACGTACTAACTCGACTTTTTTCGGACTCTTCAACAGAAGAAAAGACGACACTTGGACTAATGGAATTGTATGTAACGTTCAGACAGTTGGTGCACACTTCTTTGAATATAGAAGATATAGTTTGGTCATACCCTTCAAGCTTGACGAAGTTGTTTTGAGACCACATTCGGCTCTTGTTTTGAGAGATAATATAATCAGTGACTCTTCTACCAAAGACATCAACACCTTCTTTATTCAACGGTCCAATTTCCTTAAAAATTTTGAGCTTGAGAGTTTTAACGGTGTTAGATCGCTTTGTTAGTTTGTAATAATTACCGGCTACACTGTCTGCTATCTCATTGTATGTCGCCACTTCCCAATTTCTTCGTTCATTTTTGGTTGTTGGGTAATCGAAGCCATATCTCTTCTTCACTCTTTCGTTCACATCAACACCATCAATTTCCGCCCTGGAAATGATCAAATGGGGCAATGTGTTGGTCGACTTTTTGGAAGGAAGCTTCACCTCTACGGAGTTTCCTTTGAGTACATATAAACCAATAATAGATGCATTTGAGAGTCGTTCACGATTGACTGATGTGTTCCTGTCAATGGAGTGTTTCTTCCTGATCATAGCCAATTCACTTGACATGAGTTTTGACTTTCAAAGTTTGTTAAGGAGTTTAAATGCGGAGTTTGCGGTTTCCCCTCACTACGAACATTTTTGAAGTTGTCATTTCTGAAGTTTTAAACATGAATGCAAAAACATTGAAAAGGGGGAATCTTTTTATTTTGGGAATAATACGGGCGGCAATGCGGGAATTCAATCTGCTAAAATTGATCACGACCCCTGCGTTCTGACTAGTAATTCTTTTTGTTCCATCGAATTTGAATATATGAACACATTGAGGCCAAAAGATCAACTTTTTTTCGCCATATTTGATTGAAATACTCTCACACAAATGTCTTTTGTTTGGCTGCAAAACAATTCAAATTATTTTTAAAGGTGACATTAAAAATCATTAAAAGTCGCTTCATTTATGTTCTTAAAACCCAGTGAATGAGTGAAAGAACCGCGTTTGCTTATCAACTTCTATTTGAGTAATAAATTACGTGTTTATGAATTCTTAAGACTCTGTATTAATTACTATTAATTATAAATACTATTAATTATACTATTAATACTTTAAGTTGGGGAAAATAGTGCGAGACATTCAACTTGGAAAAGTCCAAAATAAAACGTCGAAGATCTTCAGAAGTTAAAAACACGAATTATTTGGCAAAAACAACACTCATCAAAAATAAAAATAGAAAAACACAATCAAAACACATTTTTTAAAGATCGTAAAAGTAAAATTAAAAACTCAATTGTGTTAGATGAAACTCCGATTTGTTGTGATTTATGACAACTTTCGTTTGAAATTATTTATATCATGTTTTACTATAATCAAATAGTTTAAACTATCTAAAAATAACTAGAAAACTATATATGGTTTTCAAAAAGTTAACAAAAATCTATTTCTGATTTTTTACATTTCAAAGTGTACATTTCTTCAGCACTCTTGAATTCATATCATTTCTTGTTCAGATTTATTTAATTTTGGCAATTATTATTTTTAATTAAATTAAGACGGAAATTATATTATATTATTTCTTTGATTATCATATAGTAAAAGTATAATAATAAATAGTAGTTTGTTTATTATTCTTTATTTTAATTTACACCTGTTTATGAAAACAAAACTGAAAAGGTGATTTTCGCTAAGCTTTTAAAAAATGAGTTGTCGCAATCTTATTTCCGTTTTGTGGAAATTTACCACAACCAGTAAATTGGTGTTTTGAATAAACTATTAAATGATTATATGTTGTCATGATTTTGACAAGAGCTCAATCTTTTTTAAAATCAGAATGAAAAGATGAAATATTCGAACAAATGTCAAGTAAAATAAAATAATTTAATAGTTAGTTAATATTATAAAATCTTGTTGGGTATTTTTATAATAATGGAAACACTATGAAAACATTATGTAAATCAGTTTATTTGTGTATATGTTTATTTAGACAGTAAGATTATTATCACATCAATAACTATAGTTGTTTAAATTGTTTATTATCATAATTAGTATTAATAAATCTCGTTTTCATAAAATTTTTCTAATCATAAAATCTATTTATTTTTTGAAATTAAATCTCGTCTATTCTCAAAATGAACAATTCAAACTAATATTTTAATAATTAAAAAACTATATATTTTTTTGAATAAATATAGAAATATTCTCAATTGTTTATTATAATTATAATTATTATTTATAATATCTCTCTCTTGTAATCTCAATTAACTTTTTGAAATTATATCTGGTCTATTCTCAAGTTAAACCATTTTAAACCACAATTTAAATTATTAAAAAACTATATTTATTTTTAGAATACGCCAAGAATATTACTTTTACTTATAATTTTAATTATAATTCTACCAAATACTTAAACTCTTACTTACTATCTCCCTTTTGAAGTTTAATCAATTCATCCAAGATAGCTTGAGTATCTCTTTGGAATAAAAGTGAATGGATTTGGACGTACTTAACAATATTATCTGGATTTACAATAATAGTAGCCCGACATGCCACGCCGGTCATACTCATGACGCCAAATGATTTACAAATTTTGTGAGTAGTATCAGCTACCAAAGGATATTCCAACATTCCTATTCCTGAGTTCTCCTTAGTTGCCTCAGAGACTTTCTTATGCGTTTCTACGTTGTCGACGGATATCCCAATTAACTCTGCGTTGTTGTCTTGGAATGATTTGAACTTTTCATTGAAAGCGACGAGTTCCTTTGGACAGACGATGGAGTAATCTTTACAATAAAAGACTAGAACTTTATATTTCCCGTTTTGAGTCATTTCATAGTCTTTAATCTCCCCTTTTAAGTATGAAGGCCCTTTCACTTCAGGACTCTTACTCTCAACTTTGATCTCCGCTGTAGTGTCGGTCACACTATAATACCAATTGGCTAATTTGTCACCTAAAGACTCACTCTTGGGAGCGTCACAGGCACATTCCATTTTCGGATGTTCGTTAGATGGTTCAGTGGACATTTTTTTGATTTTTAGTGATTTTATTCAGCTTTTATAGGCGCCTGGACACAAAGTCATTTTGTAAAGTGATTTGTGCTCTCCACATTATTTTGAAGGTCAATAGCACGTTTGGTCATCTTGTGCACTACCTCAGTTTTTTAGGGTAAGATTAGTTTATGTTTAATGCATTTGTTCGGGATTTCACCCCCATTGTTTAAACACTTTTTTTAAAATACTTAAACAAAGCCATCGTGTTCCTCACACATTCCCAAACTTTCTCGCCCACATTACAAGTCAAAGTGACTTGTTTATATTTAAACTAGTTCTTATTAGTAATGTTTTTATAACTTGTTTATTTACTTCTAAAACAAAACTTCAACCTTAATTTAAATTCAATTTCTTTATTTTATTTTTTTGTCTTTATTGTATAAAAAAAATTCATAGTCTAATAAAAAGTATTAATTATCCAAATAAGAAGATTTTGGTTCAATTTATTGGGTTATTCTTTTTTCTATTTTTTCATATAATTTCCTTTTATAGTAAAATATAGTAAAATATAGTAAAATATAGTAAAATATAGTAAAATATAGTAAAATATAGTAAAATATAGTAAAATATAGTAAAATATAGTAAAATATAGTAAAATATAGTAAAATATAGTAAAATATAGTAAAATATAGTAAAATATAGTAAAATATAGTAAAATATAGTAAAATATAGTAAAATATAGTAAAATATAGTAAAATATAGTAAAATATAGTAAAATATAGTAAAATATAGTAAAATATAGTAAAATATAGTAAAATATAGTAAAATATAGTAAAATATAGTAAAATATAGTAAAATATAGTAAAATATAGTAAAATATAGTAAAATATAGTAAAATATAGTAAAATATAGTAAAATATAGTAAAAATGAAATTGAATAACAAAAAACGAAAAGGTGAGTTATAACCAGGTGACAATGTAGAGAGCAGTAAATAAAAGAAAGAACCACACGAAGAGGGCAGTAAGGTGCCTCCACCCCCAAATACGGTCGAACACATTTCGTGAGAAAACGTCGATAAAGAACATGATGAGGAAAATTAAAGGAACGAAAATACCAGCAATCAACGTAAGAATGTTGAGCCAGTCTTTACGTTTGTAATCATAGCCACTCTCTGTATAACGCTGCTGTTTCCGAGTAAGAAGAGACTTCTCCGCTTTGTCTGAGAACAAACTGACGGGTGGTTGGGATTCAATGGCTTCTTGTTGGAGTTCCATATAGACTAGGGGAGATCTTTCTTCGAAAGAAAATGGATGGGAAACTTAGACAAATTCTAGAATCGTAGTTTTCATACTACAAACCATTGTTGGATGGTTTTGGAAGTTTTCCTATTCATTCTATTTGTGGAGTTATATAACATTTGGAATAACACAACAATAAGTCTAAGAATCGAAAAAAAGCCCCAAAAACACAATACCAAGTTATGCTAGAGATGAGCGTGTCAAGACACTCACTCGAAAGTGCAGACATACCAAATTGCGTGGATCTGTGCTGGGAACCAGAAGAATAAGCAAAGGATGATGTTCACCCACAAGTGGCAAACACACCCACCAAGAAGTCCAATTGCAAGTGGGGGGATGAAGATAGCAAGAATGATCCACAACACTATATGTCATTCATGTCAACAATACAAGAACAACAAAGCAAATATAAAAGAACAAACAACATCTGCAACCACAATCCATTAACTGACTGAATTTCTGACGATTTTCACTGCTTAAGTGGTTTCTCGTTCAACACTTTTCAATCTCGTTCTCTCAATCTCATCTCTCATTTTTTTATTCTTAAATATGTTTTAACAAGACAACTTAAATTCACCCAATCAAATATTATAATTTTTAATTATTAGTTACTATTAATTTATAATTAAAACTATAAGTTTATTTTTTTAAATAAAAAACAATAAATATTTTAACAAAACTATAATTTTAATAACATTTCCATTTGAAAATGTTATTACTACTCACTTTTTGATGAGATTGTTTGATTTCAAAAAAACGGAATAGAAGCACAGTTAAGCGCAGAAAATAAAAGGAAATATTGTCAAAACGATATACATTATAACCAATAACTTACTAATGTGTTCTGTTCATTCATTCTGTCGTATGAACTCTGGAACGCAGTTAGTAGTGGACAAAAGACGAAGAATATGTATATCCAAATAATCAATTCATAGACAAGAATCCTCTCCCTCACAGCGAGAACTTCTCCTGGTCATACTGCACTCTTTGTTGAGCGATCTTGTTGTGATACTTTTCGGAGTCGTTGCTGATGTCTCTAAACGCCTCTGGCTGAGCTGGTGAGAGTGTATTTGGTGCGTCGAGTAACTCCTGAATTCCCAACAAGATCTGTTTAACGGAGATCGCTGGTCTCCAGTCTTGTTCTTCATTGAGAATTGACAAGCAAACGGTTCCCGACGGATATACGTTTGGGTGGTAAAATCCCTTTGGAAATCTGCACTTAGGTGGGCGTGTTGGGTATTCCTCTGAGAAGTCCATTGTCAACGGGTAAATCCCACCTTCCCACTCCGTTCCCTTTTTCCCCGGAATTCCACAGTCCCACTGCAACAAATTCGGCGCGCCGTTGTTTGTTCTTGGACGCGCTATAAACCCAACGGGGTGGTCTTTTCTCCACAAGCGGCGTTCTTCTGTTAGTCGTTGTGCAGCGAGCCCACTCATTTAATTCTGTGTTGAGTTGAGATGTTACAGGGTTTTTCTTCTTTTCGTGGACTGATGAAATCGCATAGCTTTTAGTAATCATTTGTTTTCGATACGTGGCGCGATAGTAGTTTTTTATACTATTAATTTATTATATTTGGTGTTTTTTCTATTTATAAAATAATAGTATTGTAATAATAATAATGGTATCATTCGTATTTAAAATTAATAATAATACTTAAACTATTATCAAAACTTCCCGTTTTTTTTAACAATTTTTAACCGATTTTTTATAATTTATAAATTTTATTTTTCTTTCAAAAATTCTGCATATAGTTTTATAACTAGTGACTATATAGTAGTTTAGTAGTTTTAAAGTAAACCTCAATGTATTTTTCTAATAACTTGAACAAATTATTAATAAATTAAAAATAAAAAAATGCAAAATGAGAGGATTTTCTATTTTTTATTAATTCTTTTAAAAATTTTCAAAAAAATAAATTTTTCTCTTTTTGTAGAAAATGAAAAACAAAAACTCATCGTAAAAACCCTTAGTTTTAGGGCTATAGAATGTCGGACCAAACACTTGACGAAATTCAACTCGCTCTTCAGCACGTCGAGGTCAACTGGGACGAGCTAACGGGTCATGTCGCGACTTTCAACGCATTTGTGGTCG